ATTTAATTAAAAAAAAAACGAAGGAAAAGGAGGAAAATGAAAAATGAAAGAGAAAAAGAAAAAGATAGAGAAGGCGTAACTATTTTTTTATTATCTACAGTTTTCCAACCATCATTGGTTTACTAAAAGCCGAAAAATATTGCAAATTATTGGCGGTCGCTTACAGTACTATATGTTACAGTACCATAGGTCCACCAAATAAGTATTGACATGGTCAATAATGCTTAACTTTGCTGATCGAACGAGAAACAGTGGTTTTAGCTGGATTTGACCGCAACCAACTGGATTGTAGAGAAATGGACAAAAAGAGAAAGGATAAAGAGAGGGAAACTGAAAAGAAACAAAAAAGAGGGAACGGGTAAATGAGAAAGAAAAGAGGGAAAAATCAGAATGAGAGAAGGCCAGAGAGAAGAATGATGGAGAGTAAGGAAATGGAAGAGAAGGACAGAAATACGAGAAATGGAGAGCAAAGACAAAGGAGATGGTGTGAGTGTAAGAAAGAGAGATAATAAGAAAATCTTGAGAGAGAAAAAGAGAGAAAGACAAAGATAGAGTGATAAAGAAAAAAAAAAGAGAATAAACGAACGCAGAATTCTAACATGCGACCATATTTTATTAAAAAGAAAAATAGCCGGATCTCTGAAAGGGGAATCTTCGAAATGTAAGAATACGCTTAGCGATCGTGGTGACGATGTCTACTATCAAAATTGAGAATAAATGAATTCGAAAAAGAACAGAACTTAACAATGTAGAAATATAATTGCAAATGTCACAAAACTGAAGAGACTTCTTATCTCTTAATCTCCCAGATTAATTACAACTTAAAAAATTCTGAACTGAAGAGTACTAATACACCAAATAATGCTTGGAATGGTGCCAAAGAACTTGCAAATAAATTGGAACATTGAACTGGGAGAGAGAATTCAGACGATACAGACTATAGTACCGATGAAAGCAACTCTGTTTAAATTGGTAGGGAATCGAGAAAACTAACTTGGTTTTTTCTGTGTCAAACACCAAATGCAGATATGTACTGCTGCAATATATGAACAGATGTTACATAGGCTTCAATTTCCTGTCTAGACAGAGTCCGAAAGAGTTTACGCCGACTGGTGGGTGATGAATTAATATCCACGTTACAACACTTTACTCACAGACGAAACGATGCAAGGCTAGCACTATCCTATTGGTTACTAGACCGGTGTCGAGATCTCATCAATTTACAATTCAGCTGGCTAGATGTAACCGTAAAGTCTATGCTAAAAGTGTTTTTCCCGCACTTCTCACTTGTGGAAATCCCTTTCATCTCTATGATTTCCAGCAAACTTTAAAAATTTAAATGCAGTGTCAATCGCTATCGAATGTCCTCTTGATTACTCTTCTTTTGTTGTCGCTCCTTAGTAATGTTTCTCTTTTCTTATTCTTCCACATTAAGCATGTTGGTGTTAGTGGCTTTATTGCCTTTCATGGAGTGAACTTGTGTAAGAAAACAATGATGCATGCATTAATTTTCGTTTGTCTTAAAATATATGTTTTTGTGTTTTTATTTTCACCCGGACTCAAATGTACCAGGAGTCCTTAAATATTTACTGTAAAACGTCCACAACAAAAGTGGTGAGCTCTGCATCATTCTTCAATAGACTCGTTAGATTTTAGCACATCATATCAGTGTCATGTGTGGCGTTCCTAGTCATTCCTAAATAAACTATTATTTGTATGCTAAGGTTTTCAGAGATCGATTTAATCTTGTAAATCTTATAGAAGACTCTCCTTTATCAGATCTTGTAGGCTGACGCTACAGAATCACAAACAAGAGACCTTTATCAAATAATAAAGAGCACATCACGTGGATATATCTAACAGCAGCAACGACAATAAATGTGTCGCCCATGCAACTAAAAGAAAGAAATAAGAATATAATTCAGATTTTGACTTTCCGACCTATCAAAAACAAACGTTTGGAAAGAAACTCCCATCAATATAAGAAAGAAACATTTTGGCTATTTGAAAAGTTTAAATTCCTAAAAGACTATTTACATTATTTGGACTAGTATCCTCATCTTTGCCGCCATGTTTATCACAACGTTTCGGCTGTTGTACGCTCCGGCCTTCTTCAGGTGGCTGGAACTGAACCCTTTATTTCGCTCACTGGGCTAGACTCTTCTAGTTCCACGTGCCATGTCTAATGGATATCAGTTATCTCCTGTTAATTCCCCTCTCAAATTTCTCCACCGCCTTAACCAGGTATTAAACTCACACTCTTTGGGTCCCGTCACTGGATACTGAAAGACTATTCTAAAAATGATTTCAAAAATCTCAATTGACGGATACACTAACCATTCAGTCAATGAATGCCAAGTTTTCCTTATCGCGCCATTATTATTGCCATGTCATTGTTCATAAGATGATGTTCTGTATAGTTGCATTAAATTTATATTTAGAAATATCTAAATACAAGCAGACAGTGATATTTGTCGTCACTTTCAACACGTTTCCCCATTGGTCCTTCACAGTAAGATTGGTATTTGTCAGTCCAATCAAATCACTTGCCGCAGATAATTTCAATGACGCAATGGTTAGAACGCGAATCCACGAACCTAAATTACATTCAATTTAAATTATGTTTTGTTTGCCATCGTCAGGTTAAAATGCCGATAATGATGATGATGGTTGTGGTGGAGATTGAATGGGTCACAGAGCTTGATCGCTGTTATCGAAACGTTAAGTAGGGTGGGGGGTGGGAAGCGCAACATGAAATACAAGTCATCGGAAGGAAGAAAAGGAAAAGAAGACGTTACTCGAAAGACGAATGAAATTATAAAGAGAGAAAAAGGCTTAGATATTAAATAATGATATATATATATGAACAAAAATACGGAAATAGATAAATAGTTCAAAAAAGAAAATAACCAAAAAGATGGATGCAACGGACATGCTGCGTTGCGTAAATGCTAGTTGTGTTTATATAGAAAACACGTGTCTCCTGGTATATCTTTCCCGTAATAATTATTGAGGACTCGAATATGAGTCCGAGTAATAACTGGTGACACAAAATAATACATAGAAAAACAACAATGTATGTCTAAGCAAAAGTATCCAATGACGATAAAAGAAGAAACATTTGAAGACTAATTATATAGAAAAATTTCAAATTAGAAAATGTGTGTTTGTGGAATGTTTCAGAAGTCTAAGAGAAAAGTAATACACTTAAAGTGAATTGAACGCGTCCCAGCGGGAACCAACTTTTTACGGAGTTCTAAGAGAGAAAAGAGAATGGGTGAGAATATCATTTCCTATTTATAGGCTTAAGAAGCCGCCACTAGCGACAGATTTATTTTTAGTAAAGTGGGTAACACATAGATAGATAGATAGATAGATATTAAATATATATATATATATATATATATATATATATATATATATATATATATATATATATATGATTGTATTTCCTCAGGCAATGGTTGGTAACTAGTCCAGTTACCAACCATCGCTTGAAAGAAGTACAATCATAGTATTGAATCATGAAAGCTTTTGTGTACCTATTTAAAATGCTTTTATTATAATCTCTTATAATAAATAATAATAATAATATATAGACAGACACATACACACACACAAGCACACATGTAAACATATATATATATATATATATATATATATATATATATAATTGTTTTTAAAAATATGATTCGATTGCTACGTAAGATTTTTCATGTTTCAAAGACAGTAGATAAAACCTTCAAATTCATTTAGTCCTCAAGCGAATTTTGGAATTTTTTTTATTCCAAAATTCGCTTGAGGATGAAACAGAACAAAGTGCTTTAATTAAATTCAATCTCTTTTAGTTTTTAGCTTTTCGAAATATGATAACTCTTATGTAGCGATCGAATCATATTTTACAAAACAATAATAATATATAATCTACTGTTGTATCGGGCACTGTTTTTTTTTTTAAATAAAAAAAAAATACTAAAGAACTTTCGATTATTAACCTAACGGTTCTTTCCTATTTTTCTACACACACACAGACACACACACAAACACACACCCATACACACAGACACACACCCACACACACACGACACACACCCACACCCGCACACCCACACACACACCCGCACCACTACACACACATATATATATATATATATATATATATATATATATATATATATATATATATATATATATAATTTATTTTAGGATATTTATTTATATAATTATATATATAATTTATATTTGATATATATATAATTTATATATAATATATATCTGATTTTTTTTAAGATATCTAATTCATAAACATGTATAATAGCGATTTTGTTCATGTTTTTGATTTAATATCTTAAAATAAATAATATTTTGCTCAACACTATATTGAGCCCTCTTTTAAAGTAAATGTTACGATCGTTGGAAGTTTCTTTTATTCCTTCTCATCTTACTTGTATCAGTATATATATATATATATATATATATATATATATATATATCTTTGTATACATATATATATATGCATGCATACATATCCCTTTTATCCCTTTTAATGAATGCTATATTTATGCCACAAAATACTCAATATCAAGGACAGAACTGAGAACTTGTAAATATAGGCAACACTGAATGAGAACAATCTGTTTCATGCTTAAACGCAATCCACAATCTAATGTCCATATATGTATACACACGCACACACACACCCACACACACATATGAGTGGGTGTATATATATATATATATATATATTTATATATATATAATTTACCTATATATATATATAATTTACCTATCTCCCAATATATATATATAATTTATCTCTCAAACTTATCTCCTATATATATATATATATATATATATATATATATATATATATATATATATATATATATATATATATATATATATATATATATATATATGTATATATAGGGATATATAAACTCTGTCTCCCTATATATATATATATATATATATATATATATATATATATATATATATAAGGAGAGATAGTTTTGAAGTAAATTATCGCCATCGTATGTTTAATTTCGTCCCAAGCGCGTTATTTCTTTTGATTTTTTTTTTTGACTGCACTGCATAATAGGGTCTGTTGGCCACCGTCTTTGACAACAAAAACACACACACACACAATGACGCAATTAACTTCACAAAAAATTTGGAAATGTCATGCTACACTGCTTGGCATTCATGACAGGAGATTGAATATGAACATTTCAGAGAGTGATGGTTGTCAATCTGAGGACCATGCAAAGGGTTCAGAAAGATTTGTTTGAGTCGAATGATGGTTACAAATGTGTTTAGCGTGATCACTAGTGATGGTGATGACGTTATGCCTCCATTTATCTTCCCACGGGGCCTCAGAAGAAACACATAGGCCTATATCAATTACCTTGAGAATGTAGTGCTTCCTGGGTCAAAAGGGTGACTGCTGGAAGACTCTATGTCCAGCAAAAGGACACTTCACCATACCACACAAGCAGGTGGACCCAGTCATTGTTTTTAAGAATATTTCTTCAATCACATCACCCCTTAAATCAGACCACCTAATTCCTCAGACTGCAAGACCCTTGATCATTATGTGTGGCGTGCAGGTGAGAGAGTGACCAACAAAAGTCCTTGTAACAACAAAGATGAACTAAAAACAAGGATTATGGCAGCATTCACCATCTTAAACAAGGAAATCTTCCATACGAGTTGAAAGAAATTCTGAAGTTTTCAGTAAGCCGTGTTTGAAGCCAATGTCGATTTTATTGAATAAATTTAATCTTTAGTATTTCAAAACATTTGCGTAATTTTGGTAAATATATCTGTTAAAATGAGATGTCGGTGTTATTTTCATTTTTGCGTAATTTAGACGACTATATATATCGCAACTTGTTTGCATATATATATATATATATATATATATATATATATATATATATATATATATATATATATATATTAATTTTATTATTATTAAAAACTTTACACGCGACAATAGTGTAAATTATTTCAAATATTCAGCTCTCCAACGAATATCATGATAATAGAGAAAGGAATTCTGCCTAACACACAGAAACTACAAAATTTGTTTTTGTTTTTTTTAAATTGGCTGAAACTGTAAAATGACTTGAACAAAAAGCGACGCAAACATAAAATAATAGACTTTTTCTTCAATTTTGATTACATTACATAATATGTTATTCAAAATTCGATAAATACAATGAAAATTAAACAGATCTCTTTCGTTTTTTGATACTTTTTTCTTAAATATATTATTCATGTGTAAGGTTTTATGTATATATGTTTATGTGCATATATGTGTATATCCGTATGTATATATGTGTGGAAATGTATATATATGTAGGAGTGGATGGGTATAGATGTATGTGCATATGTATGTATATATATATATATATATATATATATATATATATATATATATATATATATATATATGTGTGTACACGCCTATATGTATGTATGTACGTGTAAATATAAATATGTTGTTGTGTATGTGTGTATACGTATGTGTTTTTGAACATAGAAAGATTAGATAATCGTTATATTTTTTATGTTTATATTAGATTTGTAACCTGTAGTTAATATTACTTTTGCCAATTTTCTTTCTTTTTTTTCTTCTTTTTCTTCTTAAATCATTTTAATTATTCTACTAATTATTTGAGCGTGTATCCCTTATCGTCCAAGGTTAGGACCATAGAAGAACAACACGAAATGACAACAGTAGAAATAACAAAGAATATATTACACGAGAAATAATACAAGACGTGAAAAGGTTAGTCAGACTGTCCGACTGGTTTGGTGTGACTGCTATTAGCTCGATTCGATTCAATACCGTCCCAATACCGTTCGTCTCGTTTGAGAGGTATTGTATATATAGCATTCGGAAGAGTTCATTCTGTCGGTCTAGGTAGGCACCATGACAGTATCCTTATCTTTTTTGTTCTGATCATCGAACCTATTAGGAAGAGGTCAACAGTTTCCTAATAGGGTCCGACATTTTTTTATTAGATGAAATCACATGATTACTTAAATGGATATAAATTATTCCAATGAAAGAGTTCAAATTCGTTCACCGATTCTGTTTTCTTAATGGATATGCAATTCCTTAAAATCTTTGAATGCATACATTCGTAGAAGTATACTTCTAAAATATTCGATACTTGCGAAGTACTAAAACTTCTGTTCCGTATGATGTTGAACGTGTTTTTTTTGTCATTTTAATTTTTCTTGAAATGGAAACGCCAAAGTCTGTTAAATCTTTTATAGACATCTGTTTCTAATTGAGAAGGAGTTATCATCTTGTTTGCTAATCTCTTTCAGAGGGCGAATTTTAACCGTTTTACAAGATGGCCGAAGTGGCGATCAGTGATGAATCGGGTAACAGTATAAATAACCTCTTGCCACCCGGCGTTATTTGCATATTTATAATTGTCATCTGATCTCGAAAGCTTTCATACTCAAACTGGACCCAAATGA